AATAGCACACCTATGAATATTCCAGTATTTTCGAGAACATGCACACATAATTACTGTTGGGTATTGTTATGGACCTAATGAGTTTCTCCTCACCCACACACTCAGATTCCTATGTTTAAGCCCTAACCCTCAGCGCAACCGTATTTAGAAACAGGGCCTGTGAGATGATAAAAGTTAAACAAGCTCATAGAGTGGAGCCCTAAGCCAACAGGAAGTATAAGAAGAGTGTCTAGCATGTGGGCACAGCAACTAGGCAGCAGACTGAAAGCCAAGAATAAAACCCTCAACAGAAACCCAACTGGCCAGTACATATCTTTTTTATTTTGTTTTGTTTTTGGTACCGGGGATCCAACTCGGGTTTTTGCGCCAGTACATATCTTGATGTGAAGACTCCCCAACCTCTAGAACACTAAGAAATAAATTCTGTTGTTTAAACCACTCAGTATGTGATAGTTTGTTTTGTACAGACTTAGGAGTGCTATGGCTGAGTCATAAGACATGCAGATATTGAATATAAGCTTGTGAATATTAGCTGTAATATATACTGTCAAAGTCAGGTCCCATAATGCACACCTGTAATCCCAGCTGCTTGGGAGGCTGAGGCAGGACAATTACAAGCTCAAGGCCAGACTGGAAATCACAGTGGGACTCTATCTCAAAACAAAAAACAGTAAAAATATATAATGTCAACATTTTTTCTAAAGTGATTGTCAATTCCACCTGCTCCATTTTAAACAAAGTTGTTCCATATCCTCAACACTTGGTATTTTCTGTCTTTTCTACTTTAGCCATTCTGGTAGATGTGTAATGCTATTGCAAATTCAGTGTTTTTCACGTTCGTTGAACATCCAGATGTCCAAGTGATTTCTTTTGTGATATCCATTCAAATGTCTTTTTCTGTTAGACTGTCTTCCTTAAGGATTTGTAGGAGAATGTGCAAGATACCAAATGCTTGTCAGATATATTTTTTCAAATATTTCTTCTAGTCTATGGAATACTTTTGAGTAAAGAATGCTTTACTATCTAAAGCTCTCTTTGGAGGAGCTTCCTACCTTAGAAAAGACAGGGAAAGAGTCAATAATCCTGGATGAGGAAAAACTCTTACCGATGGATGAGGTTTATCCAAGAGAGCAGCTTCCAATTGACATTTTCTGTTCTCTTGCCCTTTGCCCAAAGTTTCATGATGTGAAAATGCAATGAGTCTACCTAATACCTGGTTCTCTATGTCAAAGTGTTCTTTTTTTCTTGGTGCTAGGAATCAACTCAGAGCCCTGTATGTGTTAGTCAAGCACTCTACTACTGAACTATACTCCCAGGCCCTATGTGAGTGGTTTTTATATTATATGCCTAGAGTTTCTCAGAATACTGTATTCCAGGCACACTCCATGTTTAATTCACATTTCATTTTTTAAAAAACAGATTTTAGGGCTGGGCATTTAGCTCAGTGGTTTCGCCGCCTGCTTCGCAAGCGCCAGGACCCGAGTTCGATCCCCGGTACCAAAAAATAAACAAAAACCCCCAGATTTTAGCCAGACATGAAGGTGCATGCCTGTAATCCCAGCACTTGGGAGGCTGAGGTGGGAGGGTTGCCCTGGGTTCAAAGCCATCCTGGACTACATAGTGAGACCATGTCTCAAAAAAAAAATAGATTTTATACCATCAAAAGGGATATAATGCCAATATTTAACATACAATAAACTGCCTACAAGTTAATCAGAGGTTAAATCAGTTCAGTGCAGCCCTCACAATCTCTTATTGTCATCTTTGTATTTAAAGCACAGGCCCAGATTTCAAGGTGAATCATTTAAAAACCACTCTTGTCTCTACTTCTATGGAGGGATAAGGACTTTCTTAATAGTATACAACCAAAACAAAAGATGCCAGCAGAAATAAGCTGGAGGCTGAGGCTACTATAATTGCAACTGTAGTCTACAACCAAGTTCAACATATTGTAAGCTCAAAACAACAGAGTCAGGAGTCTTGCAACCCTGGCATCCTCAGTAGATGAGTTCCTGGTGGTCTTCCCTATGTCTTTACTATTCAGACTCCCTGGTTTCTTCCCATCTTCTGAGCCTGGTTCTGTAGACTTAATATTTATTATTTTACCACCCAATATCCTTCCAATAAACCTTCTTTCAGCTCAAAATGAAACCTAAGACAACAATATACCAGCACCACCTTTTTTTGGCAGTGATGGGGACTGAACCCAGTGCCTTTCACTAAACAACATCCCTAGCCTTTTAAAATATTATTTTTTTTTTATTTTGAGACTGGGTCTTGCTAAGTTGCCCAGGGTGGGCTAAAACCTGTGATCCTCCCGTGCTGGCCTCCCAGACTGATGAGATTATAGATGTGCACCATCATGGCTGGCTATATTTTTTTCTTATTTATATATGAAGCTAAAGTTAAAAATTTGAACCTATGTTTAGTAATAAAACACAAGTTTTAATCTATATATTAGGGTTCTGTGACAGATTTTATTTGAAAAAGGACTCAATGCTTTTTTTTTTTTTTTTTGAGACAGAGTCTTGCTATGTAGTCCAGGCTGGCCTCGAACTCATGGTGATCCTCCTGCCTCAGCCTGCCAAGCGCTGGGATTATAGGCATACACCACCATGTCCTGCTCAATGCTTTTCAAAATTTCATCTGAAAATCACAGTACTGCAGTACCTCCGGGCCTCCCTTCAGCCATCCTTTTAGCTAACCCTGTGATAAACACATCATACCTCCACTTATAATCCTTTAAAAACTTTTATCTAATAGGGAATCCTATAAGGTAGAGTTCAAATTATTTGCTTGAAAAAAAAGGCCCCTCAAGATTTGGCAAATGTGGGGAAAAGCAGCGCAAGCAGCCGCGACGTCATTTGCTGCTGCTGAGCTTGGGCGCAGGCGGATCTCGGTAAAGCCCGGGTCGCTGTGCCGCGCACGCTACTAGGCCTCCAACGCTTCTTCTCAGCCCCCGTCGCGCCCCTCGGAGGAGTCCTGGACGCCGGAGCCACCCCGGAAGAAGTCTGAGAAGCCGCGCGGCCCGTTGTAACCGCCATGCCCAAGAATAAAGGTAAAGGAGGTAAATAAACATAGACGTAGAGGAAAGAATGAGAATGAATCTGAAAAAAGATAACCGGTGTTCAAAGAGGATGGGCAAGAATATGCCCAGGTAATCAAGATGTTGGGAAATGGACGATTAGAAGCGATGTGTTTTGATGGTGTGAAGAGATTATGCCACATCAGAGGGAAATTGAGAAAAAAGTTTTGGATAAATACCTCAGACATCATATTGGTTGGTCTCTGAGACTACCAGGATAACCAAGGTGATGTGATTCTAAAATACAATGCAGATGAAGCAATAAGTCTAAAAGCATATGGCGAGCTTTCTGAGCATGCTAAGATCAATGAAACTGATACATTTGGTCCTGGAAATGATGATGAAATTCAGTTTGATGACACTGGGGATGGTGATGAAAACATTGATGATATCTAAATTGAACCCAACATTCTACATTCCAGTTTTTCAGAAGATTGTCCTACAGTTTGGATTTTGGCCATAACCCTCCAAGAAGTTTTCATTAGCATGATTGTAATTTATTAAGGCAGTTTGTTTTGGTTCTAAGATATTTGTTTCTGTAAAAACCGGTAATGCTGAATTATCTTAAGTGAAATGTTAAGCCTACTTCATTCTTTTACTGTAATGGAGCTCACAGGTAGAAAACCACATGTATTTCGAAAATAGTGCATTACTGCCTTTCCTGCTCTGACCACTCCCAGTCAAGTAAAGGGGTGTTTTGAATTAAAAAAAAAAATTGGCAAATGTTAGTGGGTGCTCCATCAATGTTTGCTGAATAAATCAATAAAACCTGAGAATAGTCACATTATCCTACAACCCCTTCAATTTTCAGCAATAATAGTTAATTGTTATATAGTGTTCACATATAACTACCTCTTTTTTTTTTTTTTTTTCCGTACCAGGGATCAAACTCGGGTCCTTGCACTTGCGAGGCAGGCGACAGAACCACTGGGCTAAATCCCCAGCCCTATAACTACCTCTTTTATGGAAAGTCCTTTCCAGATATTTTATCTGTTCATTTGTTTGCTTGAGATAGGATCTTACTATGTAGTTCAAGCTGGCCTTGAACTCACTATGTAGCCCAGGCCGGCTTGGAACTCGCAGCGATCCTCCAGAGTGTTGGGATTTCAGGTGTCAGTTACCATGCCTGGCTCATCCAGACATCTTATTTATATATGACCTCTCCAAATAAGATTAATTTAGGTCAAATAAAAGTAATGACTCTTCTGAAAGCAAGTGTTATGGAAGTTAGTATCTCAACAGGTGTGAAGTCTGAAAAAAGGTTCTCCTAAAGTACTACATAGCTGGTGACCAAAGACTACAAAGGTTGGTAACTACAAGGAGCCTGCTCTGGTGCTTAGGAGATAGATGTTTCTGTGCACCTGAGCACTGCATTGAGTGACAGAGATGGTAGGGTATTTTTTAAAAACCAACTTTTAATCTTGAAATATCTAGGTCTTATTTTAGACAGTGAACTCGACAGCAAAGTCGTAAACACAAGAGACTGGGAGACTGACACAGAAAGACTGCAAGTTCAAGCCCAGCCTGGGCAACTTGGAGACCTAGCAAGATCCTGTTGGGTTTTTTTAAATTAAAAAGAGCTGGGGATACAGCTCAGTCCACAGGCCCTGGGTTCAAGCTCCTAGTACCAAATAAATAAACAAATAAATTTTTTAAAAGTGCTCTCTGATGTTCACCAGCCAATATAAATCTGAGGTCTTGGCTTTTAATCATTTCTTTGAGGATACTTTCTCAAGTGCATCAACGTCAACTAAGAATTTCAGTGGGGCCCAGGATGGGAGAGAAACCTAGATTTCAGTTGTCACTCGCTAGGGTGTTCATGCTATATAATTTTTTTACTCTCTAATTTTCTCATAACCAAAGTGATAAAAACCTCCACGAATCCTTCCCCAGGCCCCAGATTACTAAAAATTACCTGAAGTCCCAGGTAACAACCTAACTATCCGCGCAGGTGTCCCTCACGCTTCGCTCGCGTCGCTCCTCCTGCCCCCGCCCCATGATGCCGCCAGTGCGCAAGCGCCATCGCGCCCCGAGGGTCTTCCGCCCCCACCCGTGCGCCGCCCGCTCGGCGTTCCCGTTGCTCGCCGCAGGGGCTAGCAGGGGAACGCGCACGCGCGCTCCGGAGGCCCCGCCCCCTCGTGGCGCGCGCCCCTGAGGCGGCCGCGGGCACGGGTTGGCTCTCGTGGTGTCTGGCTATGGAGTCCCTGAGGAGGGCCCACGAGGCCGTGCTGCGCCTGCTCCTGTGGGGTCCCTGGGCTTCGGCCACCGCCTCCTGCGTAAAGCCCCGCGCCTCGGAAGTGCTGACGCGGCACCTGGAGCAGCGGCGACTGCCACACTGGACTTCGTTCTGCGTGCCCTACCGCGCCGTCCGCAACGACCAGTTCGGCCTCTCGCACTTCAACTGGCCGGTGCAGGAAGCTAACTACCACGTCCTGCGCACCGGCTGCTTCCCTTTCATCAAGTACCACTGCTCCAGGGCTCCCTGGCAGGACCTGGCCGCGCAGAACCGCTTCTTCACGGCGCTCAAGGTCGTCAACCTCGGTGAGTGGGGCGGCCGCTGGCCCGATCCAGCGACATGCGTCCCGCCGAGGGTGCCCCACTGTGCACAAGCACTAACAACGATCGCGCCCTGGCCCGAGGCCCGCCCATCGAGGTCACGGCCAAGGCGCTGGGATCCTGGAGTATACTGTAGGGTCCGCGACGCTGCGCGGTCCCACCCGGGACTGGCCGGTGACTCAGGTCCTTTGTGTCTCCCCAGGAGTAGCTTGACCAGCTACTGATCTCCCCTCATCTCCATCGCAAAGTGGACTTGTCCCCAGGCCCGCTCTCATTCCTCACCTGTAGGGAGAGGACAGCCCACCCTCCTTCCTGCATTGTCCCCAGGGAAGACTCCCGCGCTGGGGAGTAGAAAGGGTGTCAGGAAACGTCCCCAGGCAAGCAAAAGTGGCTCTGAAGTCAAGAAATATCTCAGTGCATATAGCAGGATTTGTCCCCAGGAACATCACAGTGTGGGTGCGTTGACATGACAAAAAACGGAAACTACTTTTTAAATTCCTTTGTTTTCTTTACATGAAATCCCAACAAGTTTGTTTTACTAAAAGCAATAAAGGTTTTCCACCAGGGATATTAGCTTCCTTGGGTGTTAGGCCTATGAAGTATTTTTTTAAAATCTTCCTCCTTTAACATTTCTGAATTTTCCTGGAAATATTCTGATTCCCAAGAGTACTCTCTAGATGTTTATTTTCTCTTGGCTTCATGACAGAAGAGACAGGAACATGGACACGATGTTTTATGGGTCAGAGAATAAGGCCTCAAGATGTTTTGGACCTATTAATAGCTTATAGAAAATCTAAATTTCAGTAATTCACAATCTAGACCTGGGAGCTGAACCATGTTATCCAACCAGTGTTGTAAAGCCAGAATTAAAACTAAACCGTGTTCAGCTGTACTAGTATATGATCTGATAACCTATTAAATTTAAATATGGCACATATATTTTTGCTTATTATAACTCACATATGTCACTTAAGGGGTTTTGAGCTGTGGTTCCCACTGGGACTGTCCTGGGCTCAATCCAATAAGGAGAAGATTATTTAGCAATGTGTAATCCTTTTTAATATAGGCCTTATTATTTGGCTAATGTACTACACAAAGTAAGGCCACTAATTTTGAGGTTTCTATGAAGTTGAAGAGTGAGGTGATTTCAAAAACTCAATTCAAAATTATTTGGAAAGACTGAAGTGTTGACTGAATTGCAGAAGAATTCATTTGTGTTAGCACTCTCAGAATCAGAAGAAATCATTCTTTCCCAAATTCAGAGTAATAGGTTAGGAGGAAAAGTGTAACAGGAGCTTGTAGATAAACCATGCATTGAAAGACCTTTTTAAAAAAGTCACTGTTTAGAACTTAGCATTTTGTTTAAGATCAGTTTAATGATTATAGATTTCTCTTAAATATAGATTTAAGACATTCCCCAAAAGTAGGATACCCAGAACATTTCCCACATAGAAAAGTAAAACCTTTTGAGAAAAGAAATAATTCCATCCTCTGTTGTTTTTTTTGTGAAAGATTGAGTAATGATTTGTATGGTCTTTTGGAAATTTAAAAAATCTTAAATGGAGTTAAGAGTTTTAAGTTAAGCAAAGGAAAACTTTTTGCTTGTTCATGCTTTATTACAAATTGTCTTATGCTGATAAAGGGAATTTTTTTTCCTGGACTTTTTAAAGGCTGGTGTATTCACTAATTTGGTAAGGTTTATTTTTTATTTTTTCATGGTGGAAGGGAATGTGAATTTGATAATAACATCCTTTTATATTCTGTGATGTAAATGCTCCTCTGGATCATCAAGTTCATAGTCTATGAATAAGAATAGTAAGGATTTTATTCCTGTTCTCTTTCAAATTGGTAATTATCAGAGTAATTCATTTCTCCATTTTGTAAATAATAAAGATTTCTGTTTACCCATTTGTTCTTTTTCTCCTTCGCCTTCCCTTCAATGGGAGCTGACATTTTACTGATGGTTTATCAGTCTGAGTATCCTGCTGGGAAATAGATTGAGATTTAAGAAAAGCAACTTACCCTTGGAATGAATGGGTAATTGGAGACTTACCACGAAATTCTATTTTTTTTTAAGTACTTAATTTGACAGTGGTTTACCTACTGTTCAGCTGGCTCAAAATGAATTATTATGCAAAGAACTTATTTTCCAGTTCATTTTGATATTATGTTTCAGATAGTCTGGGAAATTTTTAATTTTTCATGGAGTCTTAAAGACTTTAAAGCATATGTTCTACATATAAACAAATAATATTTTTATATATAAATTATAGAGTTATAGAACAGATCTTCCCACTTGGTGTAATTTAGTCTGACTGCATTGCATAAATATATAGCAGGAAAAAAGATTGAATTTCTGACTCCCCTATCACAACTCCATCCCCTGTCAAACAGCATTACTGAAAATGGTTCCTAGTTGTTTCTTAATGAGAGATTATATAGTTATTATTAAACTAGTAATCTTTAGTCTACCACTTTAGCTAAAAACATTAGCTAAAATTTGTGTGATTTTTCACAAGTATGAATTTCTTAAAGTAGTGATATTTTAATTGACACCTATGATAAATATTGTAAAATATACAAAGTTCCCATTGTCACCAGCCATTTCTTAAATTTATATACTTGCTGTGGTTTTAAAGGCACATTTTACATATTTCATTCTCAGTATATTTAGAAAATTAATAATTGCTTCTAGAGTATTTTTCTCTCCTCCATTGATTTTAATTTTTTTGGAGCTGTGATATGGCATTTTGAATTTTTTTTATTTCACCCGCTCCCTATACTTCTTCCTTACTTCTGCCTATCTTGTTTATGTTCTTCTCTTGCCCACTACCCATCCTCACCCCTGTACCTTCTTATTTTTTGAATAAACAATTCATAAGTACCTTTATTATCACAGTTTTTGTGGATTTTTTTGTGACATCCCCTTGAGGCATTTAGAAATTCTTTGGGGCATTACCAGAGTAAAGAAGGCAAAATACTATAAAGGATTCATAGGAGTTCTAAGGGAGCCTGAGATAATAAACTGTGACCCAGTGTATTCCTACAACTAGAAAAGTGCCAACCTGAATGAGTATCTTTTCCCTCCTTCTCATTGCCAGCTACTGATGCTTCTCCTGATTAATCTCTGGCATCACAGTGGCTAAAGGAGGAATAAGCTTCAGGAAGAATAACCACAAAGTAGTCCAACACACTTACCACACTTAGAGCATGACACGGTGAATAGATTCTTGCAGAAAAATAAGAGAAAAACTTAGCGACATGATCAGCCCTGAGCATGTGTTGATTTCCCTGTTAACTAGAAAGAAAGTGATTTTCCAGATGTGCAGCTATCCTTTTAAATGGTCTCTTTCTGCCCTTTCCCACACGGGAGCAATAAAGTTAATACGTAGAGGTATACAATATTTGTTATTAACTCATGCACCTGTGATTTTATGCATTTTTATATGTTAATAGTCATTGATTTTAAATTAGAGCCTTAAAAACGATGGAATTAGGAAAGTTTGTTTTGTGTCCTACATAGAATCATATGTATATGAGTGCTTAATCTATATCTCTTGGTAGTATTGTGTTTGGTTTCATGTATGACAAGTGACTATCAAAAAAGGAAGCAAAGAGCTGGAGATTTAGCTCAGCGGTTTTGCCACCTGCTGCGCAAGCTCAAGGACCCGAGTTCAATCACCAGTACCAAAAAAATAATAATAATAATACCTCAAAAAAGGAAGCAAAATCTTACCAAAACCATGTGTTAAGAGTCTACTATACACCTATTCTAAATAGGCTAAAACAAGGTAGTCTTCAGTTCAGTTGTAAAAATACAAATACATTAGTATCCGAAAGAAAATACATTGCTTTCTTATGCCTGTTTCACTAAAATCTTCTTTGAAATAAGGTTTGTCTTAGATTTTGAAGACAGCTATTTGACCCAGTTTCTTTAAAAATTGTACAAAAATTACTTAGGCCATCAGTGTTACTATCTAACTTAAAGGACAGTAAAGTTGACTAGTAATACTAGCTCAAGGCTAATAATCAGGAGTGTTTACGACTAAATTAATGAATATTCTTTTCCATTTGCTTATCTGTGAAAAGAATATAGAATTCATAATTACTTCAAGAAAATGAATTAGGGAAGTGCTTTGAATTAATATTTGTATCACCCTTATCTATATAATTTTAAAAAATTTTAGGCCCACATATGAATAATTGTTCTTAATCATTGTCAGTATACACATACAGTATTGTATTTTTATATTGTTATAACTTATTAACATTGCTGAAGATAGTTACATGATTAGGAGCATGACAAATACATGGGCACATGATTAATAAGTATTGATGTTCACAAATAATATATCCATTTGTTTTCTAGGTATACCAACTTTATTATATGGACTTGGCTCCTGGTTATTTGGCAGAGTCACAGAGACTGTGCATACCAGTTATGGACCAATAACAATTTATTTCCTAAATAAAGAAGATGAAGGTGCCATGTATTGAAAGTATGCATTAGAGAATATAAATACAGTATCAGTGGATTTTCTCTTGTGTGTATGTGTAATATTTTATTTTTGATCCTTTAAAATAAAACTTTTGCAAACACTTTTTCTTTCTATGGTGTCTAGTTCTTCAAGATGAATCATTCCCCTCAAGCAGTGAAGCTTTTTAGAGGTTGTTATATATTGCATTCTCTGTTTAGCTAATGGGAACTAGAAACACATGAAGCCTCACACCAGTGTTTTCCCTAGAACAATGTTAAACTACAGATAAAAAATGATTATTATGTATATAGATTCTGTAGTTAGGTGTTAACAATTTAAATTGATTCTACCAAAACAATGCAGAGGCCCATGAAAAGAAGAGGGGGAAGATCTTTTATATAATGTCAGGAGAAAAAGTAGAGGATATTAGGGTATTTGGTGGAGATAATATCATTGGCAAATCCAAAAATTGATGAGAATCTAATTGCAATGTGAAATCTAAATCATTCAGCTGCCAGGATTTTGCATGGAAGTGTTTTAAATCTGTTGTGCCATTTATCTGGAGGAGAGGGTTGAGATAAAATGCTGAAACTTCTAGTTGCTTACAGAAGCTAATACCATAGTATTTTAAAATGTAATAACAACTCGTTATTATAAGTACAACAAGGTGAATGAAATTAAGACTTACTAAAAGTTAAAATAGCATGGTAATAAAGCTATAGGAACAATTAAATTCTTCTAGAAAGACCCAGAAAAATAAATTTGGCAACTGTTTATAAAAGCAGTTAACTGAAATTGTACATATCCATAGCCTTATTGGCAATGGGGAGTGGGCTGAAATTTTAAAGACTTGCTGGCACTTTTGCATTAGAATTTTATTAAGTTAATTGCATTTTTGAACGCAAAGTCATTTAAAAAATTTATCCTTGGGGATAGCCACAAAATACCCAGACGAATGGTAAATTTCAGAAATTCGGAGTAATTTAGAGAGAACTAAGTAGAACTATTTAATTTCTAAACCAATGGGTGTTTAAGATTTATGATCACTCCTATAATTACAAACATACATTATATATCATTTTATGTTAATGTGTTGCTGATACTGTGCTACGTTTACACATTTTTGTAGGAAGACATTTTATAAAATTGAATATAACCAACACTGGATGCTTACTCCTGGCAAGTCAGTAGAGAAAGAAGAAGCAATTGAGGTGAAAGCACTAAAATAATGAACTAATACAAACTGGCTTCTACAAAAGTAGTTATTCAAAATGTGCTACAGAGAGTGAACTGTTCTTCAAATATATGTAGTGTTCACTTGTTTAAAAGCAGTTCTAAACACTTTAATCGAAGTACTTATGCCAATATATTTAGTCCAGAAAAATAAACTTGACACCAGTTAAATGAATGGCTTATACAAAGGAGATGTTACATTAAGCTTCATTAATAATAAAACTGACTATTAGCATTTTGCAAGGAAAGCTAGAACTGATTCCTTCTGTAATGGACAAAGTTAAGTAACTATAGCTCATAAGTTTTAAGTCAAATACTGCTCATTCATTGCTGCGGATCTTGTCAATACTTGCTGTAAAGGTTTGGTCCCAACACAAGGTTGGTAAAATGGTTTTCAATTACCAGACTATAAATGCAGCTTTTCAGTAGAGTTGTACCTCTTTTCACATTGGCCTCTTTGATTTTTGATAATTTGTGCTGCTGACTCTGCTTACCCATTTTTCAATAGCTACAGTCAGTGTGACTTCTTGTCCATATGGTGATAGGTAAGTCTCCTTGGAGAACATCTTTGACAAACTACCCTATTGATCTCTAATTCTCTGCTGCCTGCAGCATTAAATAGAGCCTTGATTTCTTGTCTGGTGTGCTCACTGTGCAACAATTAAGCAAATGTAATATTTTCTTGTATTACATGAAAATCAATAGACCTTGTGCTCTTATGGAGTTGATCGCGGTGAAGGATGAACTGAATGATAGTTAAGGGCATAGTTCAAAAATTAAAGTATTATTCATTGGATTTAGTAAGTCTTGTAGTGAATCTTTTAGTATGAAAATTGCTTCCCGTTGAACAATAAAGGTTTAAATTGCTTCTTTAAAGTTGCATATTACATAGAAGCATTGTGGTCTAAAAGGGATAAAATATGAATGCTGAGATCCAGGAGGTTGAGTCTATTTTTAGTGTCAGTGCTATCTTTTTGACCTATGGCTAATTACTCCTTTTGTGTTTTGGTTTTTCCACCTGTAATCTGAGAACAAAACAAGACACCTTTCTAACTTAAAAAAACAAAAGTATGATTATGCTTGTAAGCACAAGTGTTTTATTTCAGTAAAAGATCTATTTTTGAAATCCACATTCCTGTGTTTCTTCTATTTGTAAAGGACTTTATCAATAAAAGAATTTCAAAAACAGGCCAAGAGGAAGACAACTTGAGGGCAGTTTGTGTGCATCTGTGCTAGTGCCTGGTGACCTAAGGTGGCACATGGTAGGTGGGTAGAGTAACTGAGTGAGCCCTCCTGGATATCAGGAGTTTCTTGGTTAGTGAAGCCACTAATTCACATTTGCTGCCTATACTTTGATGGGCTCTTTGTCTTTTAAATAATCCAGACAAAACTTTTCTTTATGAAGATCTGTTTTTAGTACAAAACATGGCATCTCTTGTTATTTCTATTCAATTATCAAGTATTGGGAGGAAATTCATAGTTTCTCGGTAGGTTGTAAACCACAATCAAGACACAGTTACATAATTGGGAGTATGAAAGTGGCTGCTAATATATAAAGCCCTGGTTGTTCAGTGTTGGTGTCCTAACATACTGAATTGTAAAAATAGTTAAAACTTCTTTCATTATACATATTTGACCATTAATGTTTTACTAAGTGTTTACTTTAGCAAAAATCAAAACTTTTTTTTGGTACCGGGGTTCAAACTCACAACCTTGCACTTGTGAGGCAGGCACAGTGCTACTGAGCTAAATCCCCGGCTCAAAATATTTTTGATTATTAAAGGCCATATCTATTTTAAGTACATTTAATTTCATGTTATTTCCATTTATGTCCACCCAAAACTGTAAGCACAGAACATCTATAATTCTTCATGAAATATTTTTTCGATCTATTAAAGAATGAAAGATGTCTGAAAGAGTGGGGTGGCATATGAGATAAGGATCTTGATTTCACTTCACTTAAAAGTGAATGCAGATAACAGAAACCTTATCTAAAGCTAGTAGATCAGGTGTCTCCTTTTTTTTTCAGCACTTAGCTCTAAGAGTAATGATGTTTGGGAGCATCTTAACCTAAACAAGTACTTAGCATTACATCTCACCAGGGTCAACAGTCTAGGGTATCAGAGTTAAACTGTGTTACTGTAAATTAATGGAAAATTTAACTGCACTTTGCTGAAAGATCAATGTCCAATAAAGGCTGCACAATCAAGTCTTGTTGCAATGATTGAGGTCTTTAATTGCCTTTCAAAGATAAGGTGGTAATCAACACAGCTTTAACTGATCTTTTTTACTAGTTCAATTACATGCTAATGACTAGTGCCAAGTCAGAATCTTTAACTACTTATATTTATTAAATCTTATGTTAGTAATGAAAAATTACTTAAGCTACACAATCGATAGAACACAAATCTTAATTACTATGTTTCACTTGCATACTAGTATATATGCTCCACAAATGTTTCACGAGAGCTCTCCTGACAAGAAGTGTTATTAGTAGAGACCACAGCCTACAGATTATTTTCCTAACATAAATTGGAGCTCAGATGTTGATTTTTTTTCTTTTAATAAAGATGTAGCTAAAATATTGTAGTTTCCCCAAAAACGTATTTGGCCATCCAACTACCCAGAGTTCTGTCCCGCTAATGAGAGTACTAATACAACTGGAATAAAATAAATGTACGAAGTTTTTACGAAGTTTATTTCCAAATATTCCATTAGCTTTTTAGTAAAGTGATTCCACAAAAAGCCTACAATGTTCTCATAATTTGGGAAATGGTAAAAGTGAAGTCCAAATGACAAAATACACCTAAATTGAACATCAAAATAAAAAGTTTCTGTGCTTTGAAGAATGTGATAAAGGACATGAAAACCCTGCAGAATGGGAGAAAATATTCACAAATCATATATCTGGCAAGAGAATTATATCTAGCATACACAAAGAAGTTTAAAAACTCAACAACCCAATTGAAAAATGGTCCTGAAAAGATTTCTCCAGCAAGACATACAAATCACTAACACATGAAAAGATATTTATCGTTCGTCATTAGGGAAATGAAAAATCAAACCTACGATAAGATTATCATTACATATCCACTAGGATGACTACATCCAAAAAGATGTGTGCATAAGGATGTAGAGAAATTAGAACCTCCATACATTGCTAGTGGAAATGTAAAATAGGTGCAGTTGCTTTGGGAAAGTTCAGCAGTTCCTCACAATTTTAAACAAGGAGTTACCAAAACAGCCAGCATGTCTGCTCCTAGCTATACACCCTAGAGAACTGAAATAATGTCCATACAAAAGCTTGCATATGAATATTCATATCAGTATTATTCATACTAGCAAAAAAGTAGAAATGACCCCAATACTCGTCAATTAATGAACATAAAATGTTAAGAGTCACACCATGGAATATTAATAGCCAAAATAAAACGAATGAAGTACTGACACATGATAGAGCACTGACACCACACAGCATAGGGTCCGAAGCCAAGGAGAGCGGTGGGAGATGAAGAAAAAACAAAAAAACAAAGACTATTCTTGAAAGTTGGGACCTGGTGGAACTATAGCTTGTCGGGAGCTAATGGTCACCTGGAGCACCACACGCTTTTTATAGCGGAAGGCAAACAGGAAGAGAAGGCGGGGCAAATAGTGCTATGTGGCTTATGTGGCCTAGGCAGAATGTAGCGCGATTGTTTCCTGATCAGGGGTGCGCAGGAAGGGAACAGGGAAGAAAATATAGTAACTGTCTTCCAGGGCTGTGCCATCCAGGGTCTACAATATGAGTCAACAGACTGTATTTGACTATTTGACTCTAATCTGTAGAGGAGAAAGGGAGGAGGGAGGAGAAAGGGACTAAGGAGGAGGCGAAGTACCATCTTCAGGCTCAGC